GGAGGCTGAAGCATGAGAATTGCTTGAATCCAGGAGGAGGTAGAAGTTGCAGTGAGCTGAGATCTCAGCACCACACTCCAGCCTGGCAGACAAAGCATGACTCTGCCTCAAAAAAAAAAAAAAAAAAAAAGGAAAAAAGTATATATATTAGTGTAGCAATTTATACAAACAGATAGTGTACCTTGCTGAAATTGAAGACCCTGGACCTATAAGTATAACATGGAGAAATCTCAAAAACATGGAGTGGAGCAAAAAAGGAAGGGGCAGAAAAATCCACATCCCATACAACCATTTATATAAAGTGTATGAACACATAAAAGCTGTTAAAATGCACACTCTGAATGCAGAGACCGCCCCCCACCCCCACCGCAAACAGGCTTTGTGTGAGTAACATGTCTGTGTATTCACCTGGTGTGGGTAGGCTGAGTCTGAAAAGAGAGTCATTGAAGGGTGGTGGGATAGGAGTTGGTTTTATAGGTTTGGGGTAAACAGTGGAAAGTTACAGAACTTATAGTTTAGGGTGTTTTTTTGCAAGCTGGGAGGGGGTTGCAGGGTGTGGAGTCAGGAGGTTGACCAAGGTCGATTACAAAGTCCAATGGCCTTGCCAATTGAGGCGGGAATGAGAAACAATAGAAAAATGTCTCATGTTAGTTAGGCACAGCAGGGGTTGATCATTTTTCCACTTTCCAGTTACTTCGGCCTCAGTGATGTCTGTAATGCTTTGTTTTTTATTTTTTGAGATGGAGTCTTGTTCTGTCGCCTAGGCTGGAGTGCAATGGCACGATGTTGGCTCACTGCAACCTCTGCCTCCCCAGTTCAAATCCTTTGTTTCTTTCTTTTTTGAAACGAAGTTTTGCTATTTTTGTGCAGGCTGGAGTGCAGTGGCCTGATCTCAGCTTACTGCAATCTCCACCTCCCGAGTTTAAGTGACTCTCCTGCTTCAGCCTCCTGAGTAGCTGGGATTACAGGCGTGGGCCACCACACCTGGCTAGTTTTGTATTTTTAGTAGAGATGGGGTTTCACCATGTTGGCCAGGCTAGTCTTGAACTCCCAATCTCAGGTGATCTGCCCCCTTTGGCCTCCCAAATTGCTGGGATTCCAGGTGTGAGCCACCACATGTGGTGGTTTATTTCTTAAGTTGTCTGGTTGGAAAAGGTTATTCTTTATTTTTCCTCTCTAGGAAAAGGTCCTCTTCTCTCATCTATTTTGTGTCTCAGGAGGCAAAGGCTGACCTACATGACAATAGAAGAATGTCTCCTGCACCAGTGAGCTTCTTTGCTCTCTGGCTTCCAATTGGGTCCGGGTAGTAGGGAGCATCATAAGATGATGGAAGCGGGTAGAAGAGTAAAGCTGGGCTCTCATCCTTATGTTTCTCTTTTGCTTAGGTTTTTCTTATTTACTTAGTCTAATGAGCACGGAGAAAATACAGCAGACATGTACAGGTTGTTGACATGGGTATGGTGGGAGTGAGAGGTGCTGATATGAGTGAAAGGGAAGGAAAGAAGAAAAACAAAGCCAAACCCAGAAGGAAAAATAAAGGGATGTAAGGGTCAGATCTGGGCATTTATGAACGCTCTCTAGGGAATTCTGGTTTTCATCTAGACAGAAACGGCCAATGCAAACTCTTTGAGGCAGAAGGAGGCCAGCGTCGCTGGGCTGGGCGACTGAGGAGCAGGGTGGTAGGAGTAGAGGTGCGAGGTGGGGTTGGGGACACTGTAGGAAACAGGATTTGACTCTTCCTCTGATGTCTGGACTAACAAAAGCGTTTTGCTATTCTCATCCACAAATTCTCCTGTCACTTGGGAGGAGATTTCTCAAACTCTCCCCTCCCCTTCACTGCCACCCTTACGGGGTTAGTCTCACCGTGCCTGGGGCTAAGGAGTGAGGCACTTCTAACCTTCAGCATCTGCACAAAGGGCTGGTGGGTAGTTTCCAGGTCAGAACTGGAAGAACAAGTCAAATCTGGGTTGCCAGTCTAGTAGAATAAATGAAGAATGGGAGCCAAGGTATAGAGTCAAATGTAGGGCTTTAAGGAACCGGGTCAGACAGGAGGGAGGGGCAGCGGTGCCGACCAGGCGGAGGGAGGGAGGGATTCAGGAAGTGAGGCGCAGACGTGGCAGTTTAATTTATCTTCATCACAAATCTTGAAATCACTAGAGCAGCTACTTGCCCTCTTACAATCTAGACATCAATCTAGAGTTTCAATTTCCTCTTACTAGTCCTCTGTTTTTTCATTGGGAAGATATTCCCCTTGATAAAGAAAAGAGAAGTGAAATTGTTAAAATACCAATTTCCTTTGTTTCTCAACCTCGTCGCCATCTCAATCCATTCTCTTCCCACAACCATAGCAATCTTTCTAGTATGCAAATCTGATTGCGCTGGGCTTTCTCTCACATTTATAATAAAATCTAAACTTTTCCTTCTTTTTTTCGGGGGAGGAGTCAATAAACCTTCCCTAATTTTATCCCCGCCCCCTTGTAGAAAATGTTCCTGGCTTTCTCGCTTGTTCTTTTCTTCTCCTCTCTGTAGCCTTGCCATTCAAAGAGATGCTGTTTGTGGTTACAGCAGTTTTTCAACAGCGGCAGTATTTGGGGTCAGATAATTCATTTGTCATGGTTGGTTGTCTGTGCTCTGTGGGATGTTTAGCTGGATCCCTGACCTTTACCAGCAGCACTCCTCGTGACAAGCAAAAATGTTCCCAAGACATTTCGAAATCTTCCCTGGGGGCAAAATTGCCTCTGGTTAACCACTGGGGTAGGGTGTGCTGTTTCATGTCTACCCTCCCTCCCTGCCTTCCCTTCGTTTTGCAGGCGGTGGCCTTCTCCCTGTGGTTATCCTGGCAAAAGCAGGCTTCTCGCTCAGTCTCTGCCCCATCCTCCCTCCCTGGTGGGAGGGACATGTCCCTCCCCCACCTCCCAAGGTGGAGTTGGGCAGGTTGGCCCTCCCATTTACATGGCACCTTCTTATTAGAGCCAGATCAACTTGTATTCTAATTCCTTGGAGTTGAGGGATTGTTTTTTAGCCTTTTGTCTTCTGTACCCACCCAACTACCTGGCCCAGAACATTGACATCTATGTGTATCTTGAACGTTTTATGTTTGAATACTGGAAATGATTAAAACAGTTTAGAAATAACACTTCAAGGCAGATGAATTGTTTTGCCTCATAGCTGATATGACGTCTGTGATAATCTAGTTTTTAATTGGTCACTGCATGTCACATACGATATTTTGTACATGATTTGTGAATCGTTGCCTCTAGTTATTAAACTTGTTTTTGTCAGGCCGGGTGCGTAGTCCCAGCACTTTGGGACGCCAAGGTGGGAGGATCTCCTGAGCTCAGGAGTTTGAGACCAGCCTAGGCAACATAGTGAAACCCTATCTCTACAAAAAAAAAAAAAAAAAAAAAAAAAAAAAAAAATTAGCCAGGCGTGATGGTGCACCCTTGGAATCTCAGCTACCCCAGAGGCCAAGGCAGTCGGGTAGCTTGAGCCCGGGAGACGGAGGCTGCAGTAAGCCAAGATAGTTCCACTGCACTGCAGCCTGGGTGACAGAGCCATACCCAGATCTCAAAAGAAAAACGAAACAGATAACAAGCTAAGACACAAACACACCCATTAGCCTAGGTGTTCTTAGGCGTTAGAAAGTTTTCAGCTCCATTATAATCTGTTGTATTTTCAGTCCCATCATCTACTGAACCAACATTATGTGTCACGTGACTGTACCCTTGCATAATCACCCGCATAAAGCCATGCTATTAATTGACAGTAATTTAGTATTTCTGCATTTTTAGTTCTTTAGGACCAACTATACTTTAAAACGTTATTCCATTTAGGAAGTTCATTATCTATCAAGAACAATTGTGAAAAAGATTTTTAAACATTTGATTTTTAAATACCTTACCAATGCTGCCATCTCCTGGATGATTCTAAGCACTGTAACAATCAAAGACGCCTACAGTTCTCAATAGAGGTTTTCAAAAATAACGTGATGTATGCCTAGAAAAAGCTTTTATTTTTTTCTCCCTGTTCTTTTCACTTTTTTGGTTTAGTTGGCAAAAGGCCTGTATACGTTTTTTCTGTTTTCCCCATAAAATAGGTGACTATCTACCTGCCTTCCTAACCACCCACTGCTGGAGACAGAATGGTGTAGTAGTACTGTAGCGTAAAATGATTATGCTAAATACTTTTATTTTATTCCTCTAGACTCATATCCACCCTTCTCTACTCTGCTTTGTGTCCTAGGAGGCAGAAACTGACCTACATAGAGTGCATCAAGAAGCGATCTTGACTTTTAGCTTCAAATTGGATCTGGGCAATGGGAAGCACTCGAAGGAGATTAAAGGGGAAGAAGACAGTAGAGCTGGAGTGTTTCTTCCCCCAGCTCCCTTCCTATGAGATCAGAGGGGTCTGTCCCTTAACTGAAGGTCATATCTCCCCACAACAGCCCTTACCAAAATAGCTCATTCTATCTTAGGGAAGGAGTATTTACGTCCTCCCTTTGTCGTTCAGGCCTAAGGATGATAACAGTATCTAACTGTTGTGAAACCCAGAGGACTTTGCTGTACCCTGAGGTTATCCTACATTCTGCCCATACCTTTTAGATGGTCCTTTTATTAAATAGTCCTTAAGTTACCTAGCTTGAATATATTTCATAATTTTGTCCCTGACCAAAACAATGGGAAAAAGGATAGCACTTAACTCACAGGCTTGTCACAAGGGTTAAGTAAATTAAAACTTGATTAATGTTTAAACAATGGCTAAGAAAAGATAAAAATGAAAGCAATTGGAAAGCAAATAATAGTGATAGAAGACAAAGATGATCCAATATTGGGATAATTGCTATTTGTTTAGAGGTTAGAAGTCCCCTCAATCCAAATACTTCTATTGAAATTGTTTTTAAAGAAAGAATTCAGAGATATAAAAGAGAAAAACTTTTGTTTTAATTGTAAAATAAGTTTGTTGGTGGTAACCTCATATAGTTTTATTCCTGATATTTGATGTTACAAACTTTGGGGTCTTTGAGATATGCAGACCTTGTATGTAACTGGCATAAACCCCATTATTTGGGTTCTCTTAATTGCTTTTGTGATTTCTTTCTGTTTCTTCCCACAAAGACCTGTTATGTGCCTTCCATGAATGCATCCAGTAAATGGAGAAATAAAATGGGACAAAAGCAGTACATTCTATTTTTTTTTTTTTTGAGATGGAGTCGCTCTGTTGCCTAGGTTGGAGTGCAGTGGTGTGGTCTTGGCTCACCGCAACCTCTGCCTCCTGGGTCCAAGTAATACTCCTGCCTCAGCCGCCTGAGTAGCTGGGATTACAGACACCCACCACTAAGCCCAGCTAATTTTTGTATTTTTAGTAGAGACAGGATCTTTAGTAGAGACCATCTTGGCCAGGGTGGTCTCGATCTCCTGACTTTATGATCCACCAAAAGTGGTACATTCTTATAATTTACATACTTTCCACACAAGATATATTTCTTAAGAGGCTCCTTATAAGGATTTTCCATTGGAATGGGCAGGTTCTTATTGCTGGTTACCTGCTTATATTTATAACATATTCTCCATGGCACCATGTGAGTTCTAGGATGTGCAAGGTAAACAGTTGCTGTTAACAGGTATGTCAACTTCTTCCACCCTAGACCACTACAGACCACAACCATAGTGGCCATGTTTCCTCATTCTTCCACTTTCTTTTGTTCCAAATCTGAGAAGAACTTTTCTAATATAAAGGAATACCTGAATTAGCAAATTAAAAATTCATGCAAGACAGGAAAAAGCTGATACAGAATGATCAATAAGACATGAGATATAGAAATGATTCTTTAAGTAAATAGCTTCCCCTAAAAACAAAGTCACCAAAAAGGAGGGGCAATAAAAGATTGGTCTTTATTTATTTATTTTTTTAAGATGGTGTTTCACCATGTTGGTCAGGCTGATCTTGAACTCCTGACCTCAGGTGATCCACACGCCTTGGCCTCCAAAGTGCTTGGATTATAGGCGTGAGCCATCATACCGGGCCAAAAGATTGGTCTTATGCTAATATTTAATTCTACAAGACATCAAAGTCTATGATTTTTTTTTTTTTTTTTTTTTTTTTGAGACAGAGTCTTGATCTGTCTCCCAGGATGGAGTGCAGTGGTAGAATCTTGGCTCACTGCAGCCTCTGCCCCCCGGGTTCCAGTGATTCTCCTGCCTCAGCCTCCTGGGTAGCTGGGATTACAGACATACACCACCATACCTGGCTAATTTTTGTATTTTTAGTAGAGATGGGGTTTCACAATGTTGGCCAGGCTAGTTTTGAACTCCTGATCTCAGGTGGTCTGCCCACCTCGGCCTCCCAATGTGCTGGGATTATAGGTGTGAGCCACCATGCCCAGCAAAGTCTATACAGTTTTAATGGCAAAAAGTATAATACAGGATTATGGACAGATATTCCTTGATTTAAAATTCCCTTAATTAAAAAAAAATTCTGGGAACAAGTTCTCAGGATCTCCTGAGGGCTGTGTAATGCCCCCCTGCCCCCCCGTGAAAAAAAAGCCTGGCCTGGGTGCGGTGGTTTACACGTGTAATCCCAGTACTTGGTGAAACTCTGTCTCTACTAAAAGTACAAAAATTAGCCAGGCATGGTAGTACACTAGTTTCACCTGCTGAGGAGGCTGAAGCACTAGAATCACTTGAACCTGGGAGACGAAGGTTGCAGTGAGCTGAGATTGCACCACTGCATTCTAGCCTGGGAGACAGAGTGAGACTCACTCTAAAAAAAAAAAAAAAAAAAAAAAAAAAAAAGCCTAGAATATTCTAGGCTTTTTGTAAATGACTATTTGTCATAGTCATTTACAACTGTGTTACCAATCAGTGACCGATCTGTGGTCACCAATTAATAAATATCAATGATAAAGCTTATTTATCAAATAAATTATAAACATGTTTTAAAAATCCCTGGTAAAATGACAAAGTAGTTGTGACTTGTAAGCTAAATCGTGTGTTTGGAGGTGTGGTTTCATTAACCTTCAGAGGCTTGTACCATTTATCAGGGACATTGTTTTTGGTTATGATAAAAAGACTCAAAAGATTATGTGGTGTTTTTTCCCTACTACTTCTCATGCCTATATATCTCTATTATGCAAATATGGACCCAGGTAAATAATACTCATACAAAATTATAGCCATGCTGTCTTAGTCCATTCCATTCTGCTTTAATAGAATGTCTTAAGACAGGGTAATTTATAAAGAACAGAAATTTATTCTCTCATAGTTCTAAAGCCAAGGAAGTCCAAGACCTAAGCACTAGCTTCTAGTATGGGCCTTCTTACTTTGACCTCACATGGAGAAAGCCAGAAGGGCAAGAAAGATGAGCTCTGTGTCTTCACATGGCAGAAGGCTAGAAGTGAGTCTGCTCCCACAAGCCCTTTTTATAGCAGCCTTAATCTATTCATAAGGGTGGAGACCCGTGACCTAAACCCCTCACATTAGGCGCCACCTCCCAATACTGTTACATTGGAGATTAAGTTTCCAATGCGTGAATTTTGGAGGACACATTCATACCAGAGCACAGCTCTTTTTTTTTTTTTTTTTTTTTTTTTTGAGAAAAAGAATAAAGAAGAGGAAGAAAGAGAAAGAGGAAGAGGGAGAGAGAATGGGGGTATTGCTTTGCTGCCCGGGCTAGAATGCAGTCTAAATATGGGTACGCCTATAATTGTCCTTAATAATGGAGACATGAAAGAAAATGAGGGAAGAGAGTAACAAACAAGGAGCCAACCAACATTTCGTTTAAACTTCTAAGTTGATATGATGTGGTACTGATAAGAATGTATATTTTGTGTTAAGTGGAGAGTTCTATAAATGTTAATTACGTTTACTTGTTCTAGATCTGAGTTCAAGTCCTGGATATCGTTGTTAATTTTCTGTCTCATTGATCTGTCTAAGATTAATGTTGAAGTCTCACACTATTATTGTGTGGGAGTCTAAGTCTCTTTATAAGTCTTGTATGTCTGGGTATTCCTGTATTGGGTGCGTGTATATTTAGGACCTTTAGCTCTTCTTGTTGTTGCATTGATTCTTTTATCATTATATAATGTCCTTCTTTGCTTCTTTTGATCTTTGTTGCTTTAAATACTATTTTATCAGAGGCAAAAATTGTAACTTCTGCTTTTTATTTATTTATTTTTGCTCTCTGGTTGGTTGGTAAGTCTCTCTCCATCCCTTGTTTTGAGTCTTTGTGTATCCTTGAATGTGAGATGGGTCTGGATGCAGCATACAGTTTTAGTTTTTTGTCCAAATTGCCTGTCTTTGAATTGAGGAATTTAGTCAATTTAAATTTAGAATTAATAATGATATATGTGAGTTTAATACTGTCATTTAATATTAGCTGGCTATTTTGCCCATTAGTTGATGTAAATTCTTCATTGTATTGATGTTCTTTACTTTTTGGTATTTTTTAGAAAGGCTGATACTGTTTGTTCCTTTCTATGTGTAGTGGTTCTTTCAGAAGCTCTTGTAAAGCAGGCCTGGTGATGATGAATTCTGAGTGCTTGCTTGTTCGCAAAAAACTTTATTTTACCTTCACTTATGAAGCTTAGTTTGGCTGGATGTGAAATTCTTGGTTGAAAGTTCTTTTCTTTAAGAATGTTGAATATTGGTCCCCACTCTCTTCTGGCTTGTAGGGTTTCTGCTGAGAGATCTGCTGTGAGTCTAATAGGCTTCCCTTTGTGGGTAACCTGACCTTTCTCTCTGGCTGCCCTTAGTATTTTCTCCTTCATTTCAACCCTGGTGAATCTGACGATTATGTGCCTTGGAGTTGCTCTTCTTGAGGAATATCTTTGTGGTGTTCTCTGTATTACCTGGAGTTGAATATTATCCTGCCTTACTAAGTTGGGAAAATTTTCCTGAATAATATTCTGAAGCATATTTTCCAGCTTGGATTCATTCTCTTCGTCACATTCAGGTACACCTATCAAGCATAGATTAGGTCTTTTCACATAGTCCCGTATTTCTTGGAGACTTTGCTCGTTCCTTTTTATCCTTTTTTCTCTAATTTGTCTTCTTGTTTTATTTCATTGAGTTGGTCTTCGACCTCTGATATCCTTTCTTCTGCTTGATCAATTTGGCTGTTAAAACTTGTGCATACTTCACGTAGTTCTCGTATTGTGTTTTTCAGTTCCATCAATTCACTTATTTTCCTCTCTAAATTTTGTATTCTTGTTGACATTTCGTCAAACCTTTTTTCAAAGTTCTTAGTTTCTTTAGATTGTGTTAGAACAAGTTCTTTTAATTCACAGAAGTTTCTTATTATCCACGTTTTGAAGCCTGCTTCTGTAATTGGAACCCACTCGTTCTCCATCAAGCCTTGTTTCGTTGCTGATGAGGAACTGGGATCCCCTGCTGAAGGAGAGGCGTTCTGATTTTGGGTATTCTCAGCCTTTTTTGGCTGTTTTCTTCCCTTCGTTGTAGATTTATCCATCTGTGGTCTTCATAATTACCGTCTTTGTAATTGGGTTTCTGAGTGGACGTCCAACTTATTGATTCTCAGCGCCGAAATCTGAGCAACCCACTGCGCCGACCAAATCAGCGGCGTTAAGACTGATGGTGCTTTTCTGACTCTGCACCAAGAACCGACGCTCCGAGGCGCCGGCAAAACCGCCTTGCCGGTCACAAGAGTCGCGCTGGCGACCCGTGGGGCTCCTCCGCTGGGAATCTCCTGGTGCGTGAGCAACAAGAATTCATGTGAAGGTGTGGCGTCCTCTCGTTCTTTGCGTTTTCAGTGGCAGCTACAATCCCGAGCTGCTAGTGATCAGCCATCTTGGATCTCTCTCCAGCACAGCTCTTATGGGCTGAATTGTGTTCCCCCGAAATTTGTTTGTTGAAGTCTTAGTATGTCTTTCATCCCCCTACTTCAGAACGTGACTCTGTTTGGAGACAGGGTTCTTAAAGGGGTAATCAAGTTAAAATAAGGTCATTATGGTGGGTCCTAATCCAATATGACTGATATCCTTATACGAAGAGAAACTCTGGACGCAGACATGTACAGAGAGAAGACAATGTGAATATACAGGGAAAAGATGGCCAAGTCAATTAGAGAGGGCTCAGAAGAAACAGCTCTGCCAGCACCTTGATCTGGCACGATCTGGGCTCACCACAACCTCCATCTCCTAGGTTCAAATGATTCCTCTGCCTCAGCCTCCTGAATAGCTGGGGTTACAGGCACGTGCCACCATGCCCAGCTAATTTTTTTGTATTTTAGTAGAGATGGGGTTTCACCCTGTTGGCCAGGATGGTCTCGATCTCCTGACTTTGTAATCTGCTCACCTTGGCATCCCAAAGTGGTGGGATTACAGGCGTGAGCCACTGCACCTGGCGAAAAGAAATCTCTGTTTAAGCCACTCAGTCTGTGGTACTTTGCTATGGTAGCCATAGTAAGCTTACACATTGGGCAAATGTTTTTCAAATAATAATAGGCTGGTATTATCACATCCAAAATAAATTAGGAATGAAAACTTTGAAATGGAACAATAAATAGGCTGTGAAAATTTCAGGTGCATAAGATGGCTACTTATTGTTAAAATGCTCACTCTGAATGAAGAGACTCCTCAAACAGGCTTCGTTTGAGCAACATGGCTATTTATTCACCTGGGTGTGCATGGGCTGAGTCCAAAAAGAGAGTCACTGGAAG